AGAGTTCTGGCGAACCGTCATTGCATCAAAAAAGATAGTTTGTGGCTTTGAATCTTTCTTCGTAAAATAATATCGGATACACTAGCCGATTAGTAGCGCGATGCTTTGAACTTACCGCTTGTTTGTGTGCACCAAGACAATAGTACTCACACAACAACAACTTTAACAATTTCATGTTCTCACGTTGTGTCCATTTCGGCCTTGAACCATATTTCGGTTTAGTAAGTGTTCAGTTGAAGCTACCTATTTTACTTCTCACTTACAAAGGTGATTCTTCTACAAAGAGTATTTTGCCTTACTCCGCCCTTAGGTATAGGAATCATTAAAAGTCTTTGACTTAACCTCACCACTTAGGCAGATTTTAACACAGACGGTTCTAGAAATGAGCATGAAACTTTCAAGTGTTTCATTGAATTGTCAAAACTTAGTTTTCTCATTGAACCAAGGTTTCGGGATCTCCGATTCTCATGGTTGGGTTACCGCTAAGACCGTTTGTTTGTTGTGGATTTTCTTTAAGCTCATTTCCCTAACCAACTTGTACAACTTATCTCATTTCACGCTTTTTGTAAACGGATCTGTTAGGTTAATCTTTGACTTCACATAGTCAACTGATATAACCTCCACACGAGATAAATTTTCTTATTTAAATAAGTCTCCAACGTATATGTCTAGACTTACTATTGTACAAACTACTTCACCTCTTTCAACTGCTGATTGATTATCACAAATAATCATCATAATGAGCGCAATTTATTCCACCAAGGAATATCTTTTAGAAAATTTCTAAGTCGTTTAGCTTCATCCGTCCTTTTTTTGGGGACTCCATTGTGGATCTTGCTTTGTACTTAGACTATTTTCATGACACAACTCTATCCACCTAAAGTGAACACGTTGTCAAAAGTCTTAGACTTTTTCATGTCTAATATTCTATTCAGCGTGATCAAAATGCATTGCTAGATTTACTCATGAACATTTTAGTTTAGTCGCTAAATTACAATATTGGGGCGAGTACTATCCGACAAGTACCTCAATCCTACAATCATTCAACATACTTTGTCTGAGAAACTAATTATTCTCGAATTCTTAGCTAAGTGTGGAGTCAATTTTACACACTTTAGTTTGAGGTTTTGTCGAACACATCGAACCTCTTCAACATACTTTTGACATGATGAGATTGTGCAAAAGAGTTACTTTCCATCTCTTAGAAACTCAATCTAAGAAAATTACACCCAAACTTTCACAAACCTTTTCATGTCAAAGTTAATCTTCTTGGTATTTCATGAACACATCATGATTATATTCCAAGACCATCATATTGTCAACATAAGACTAACGACCACAAAGAGTCTGAAGAACCTTCATAGACCCATATTGTCATTCCATGAATTTGAAACCATTCGACAAATTTGTTTCAACAAACTTTTCATTACATTAGTTAGGTACTTCTACCATGGCTAGAACAACCCCACATTCTAAGGTATAAGTACGAATGCTTTTGCTCTTTTTATAACTCAAACGAAGTTTCGTATCTACATTCTTGTGGAATTGTCATGTGAATTTCCCCTTCTCTCTCTAGAAAAAAAATCCCAGATCCCCTTTCCTTCTTACCCTTTGGCCGTCTAATTCATCGCCTCCCCCAGCGGGGCTCTTTGATTTCCTCAGCGGCGGCGGCCCTGATTCTGCGGCCCAATGTTGGGAGGACTGCCGGAAGGAAGAGCTGTTCTCCACTGGTGAAGGAGGATCTGTCCCCTGAATAGGTTTCTCCGTTGGTGCAGGTGCTAGGATGGGGTACGGGCTGCTGATTTCCCGGTTCTTTTCGGTTGTGGCGTGCCTTCGGTGATCCTTCGGTGTTGGGTGGTGGTCCCGTCTTTTTCCCTTTTTGGGGAAATTTGGGTTCGGAGGGCCGCTGCTTTTCACCGGGCTCTTCTTCTTCCTGGTGTTGGTTAGAGGGATGGTCGACGATGCCAGACCGGGGTCTGGGCTGCTTGGTTTGGGCCCTGTCGTTGGTGTCGGTGGTGCGTGGTCGTGGTGTGGTTATCCGGGCTAGGGTTGGGATGTTTGTCCGGATATGGGTCGGGGCTGTTGGTTTTGGTCTTAGTTAGGCGTTTTCTGCAGTTTCTGAGTCCAATACCGGGGTCGTGGCTTTGTCCGATTGGATGAAGGTCCTTCTTGCTGTCGCTGCGAAGATTGGAGTTGTTAGACCGCTGAGGGGAGGGCTGTTTTGCTTGTAGTTGTTATTTGTTAGTTTTTAGTATGTGTTGTAGTTAGTGTTTTGGTTTAATTTGTATTGTTGGTTTAGCTTCCGTTGTGTCTTTTCTCCCGTAGGAGAGCTCTTTCTCCCGCAGGGGAGCCCTTTCTCCCGTAGGGGAGTTCTTTATCCTGTTGTGGTGTTTGTTTTTTCTTTGTTAGTGGGTGTGTTTTTCTAGTGTAGACTCTAGGCGATCCTTTGGATCTGTCCTCTCACTAGATTCAGCTTTTGAGCTGTCATTTTGGCTTATGAGCTGTTTCTAGATGTACTTATGTGTTTTATGTTATAATATTTCTATCGTTTCGAAAAAAAAAGTATCTACATTCTTGTGGTGCTTTCCATGCCCAAACACCCTCACAATTGAAGGTATATATACGAATTTTTTTGCTCTTTTTACAACTCAAAAGGAGTTTCGTATCTACCTTCATGTGGTGCTTTCAATTTTGTTGAAATAATTCATTCTCACATAAGCTTTTTAACTTAAGTTCAAGCTTATCAACAAGAAATTATCACCTACTCAAGAGTGAATATTTCTTTTGACTATTTCATTGAATATCAACCTCATTCTTTATATGGATTAAAGCTAAAAAATCTTTATAACAATACATTGTGCATTCTGCCCGAGTCTGCACAAACACTTGAATCACATTTACCAATGTGACTTATCTCGAGAGGGCTAGTGAATTAAGTAACCGTTTAATGCGAAGCTTTTGTCACTTTTCATTTAACAAGATTATCATATTTGTTGTATGAATCAATTATATATCATGTCATAAATTAGAACACTCAATAAATAAGCCCAACTTATTTATTTTTTTCGTACCAATAAATTACAATAATAAGATGACTTTTATTAAGGTCTACTTATGCTAAGAATGCATCATATTTCGGCGTAACATATTTGTCGATGATCACAAACTAATCTGAATTTGACGTTACTCAATTAGTGATCCGAAAACTAGATTCATATGGATGTCTTGGGCGTGAAGAACATCCACGATCTCCAATATTAATTCTTAGCACACTACCTTGTCGGTTCCTCCAACACTTAAAGTCGAAGAATTACAAATACTTTCTTCCTTAGTTAGGATTGTAGGACAATATTTATAAGTGTCTATGGGATAGCTCTTGTTCTTAACCGCTATAATCGTGGAATTTTAATCAAGAATGTACTTGAACCACGATGGAAAGATCGAGCTCTGACAAGTATTATCTTGTCCTCGACAATTTGCACTATCCTTTATCCCTCTTTAGAAGTTAGTAATCTTCTACAAGGTACCCGGGTTTGTCACCATTGTAACAAATCCCTTGAACTTCTTAGCGTCCCATTTCGGTTTGCCATGAAAACATTTTTACGCTTCTTACACGAGCTCATCTCAGCCAAGTTTTCCTTAGCCCCTACGTTGCTTCCAAAGGGTTCCACAACTCCTTAGACATCTTAACAGGGCTATACACATTACATAATGTGTTGCTTATTTAGTTAAGTATTAGATTTCTACACAAGAAATTATTATGATGCTATCATGCCAAGCATCCAAGACCATATGTTTTTAGACGGTAGTCTCACTTTCGGAGATTATCAAAGACTCCTCTAAAAGTAAACAAGAGAGGGAGGGAGTTGTAAGGTAGCAAAACATCCTTTGCTGTCAACTCTCGAAAACAGATCCATTGAAACTTCGACGGTCTTTCGCCTTGGACGGGAGCGACTACCATTACTTGATTAGTAGCCGGTGTAGCGGTCTGTCGAGCACTTGAAGAAGACATTTTGTTTCCCTCGGTTGCCATTTTATGAAAAAAAACTTTCGTCTTAAGATTGTAGTTGTGTGGTTTGTGAATATAAAAACAGATGGCTTAAGAAGAATGAAGAAAACGAAACAAAAATCAAAGTCGATGCACGTAATAATTACGTTCTCCTTAAGACGAAATTGCCCCATAAAATACCCATGGTTAATGGCAACCGCCTCCAAGATACAACGACTTTCGACTTATATATAGCGGTTCTTCAAATATACCAGACTTCGGCGAACACTACTATTGTTTGGAACTCTCAAAATAGAAACGAACACAAAGAATACAAGATGATTTAAGAACTTTGTAATAAGATGCAAAAAGCTCTTAAAAATTTCTTTTTTGGAAACATATCACTTCATGGGAATATAAGATGTTCTAACACATCTCTAAGGGGTTCAAGACATCAAAAGACACCTTTTAGGACATGTTTGGTCGTCCAATACTGTCAAAATAGAATGTTTGTGAACCCAACAACATTTCAGTTACTTAAACTTATTCATTCAGCATATAATACTTAGAATTAATTTCTCATTCATCTTAAAATGGTTTTGAAAATTTTCTAAGTCTTCCACTCATGAAAAATGGAGCCGCTAAATCAGTACAATACCAATTTTTTCTTACAACAAGTGAAATGGATTAAATAGATTCATGGTTTGTGCATAAGTATTAGTATTTTTATTTATTAAATATGTATTCATGCAATGCATAGATCTAAAATATAAGAAATAAGATAAGTATGATTTCATATGATTTATATCCATTTACTTATTTTATTTTATTGTGGTCTATAATAACTAATATTTGATATAATTTATATTTATATAAATAGTAAATAAAGTTATTGTTTACTTAATATATTATCTCGCTAACTTGTTTATACTTAATATATATATATATATATATATATATATATATATATATGTCGGAAAGCCCGACACGAGTGGCCGCACGGTGCCCCTGCATGGAGGCCGACAGCGACGGCATCGTCGGATAGAGGTGCAGCTCTTACATCACAAAAATATTAATTTTTTTGTAAATCACCGTTTCTGAGCTGATAGGTTTAAAGATTTGGACTATTGGAGAGCAACGATCAGATTTGACCTTTGTGACGATAAGAACGACCCAACAGTCCATTTTTTTTTTTTTTTTTTTTTTTTGTGGGGGTGCTGGGACCAGTCCAAACATATTACGACCCCAGTTTCTACTCAAGCATTTGACTCATGGTCAACAGATTTGACACCCATTGGTCAATCGACAGGTCCCAATGATTCAGTGACCCAGTTTGAAATCTTGGCCATGTCTAAATGAGAGTAAAGGGTAATGTTTATTGTATAAAATAATATGAATATGATGACAATTCTTATTCATTTTCAATATAGATATTTATTTTTATTCAAAGTTATAATTTATGTAAATATATTATTTATGTAAATATATTACTTTAGTGTTGTTCTCATGTGTCCAGGCCATTAAACGAGCGAGCTCGGCTTATAAACTAAACGAGCCTTAATCGAACTCGAGCTCGAGCTCGGCTCGTTTATTCCTAATAACGAGCCGAGTTCGAGTCTTAACGAGTCGATCTCGAGTTTTAACTGACTAAGTTATAAGAAAATTTATAAAAGTTATCTTTTCGAATCTTATCGAACTGAGTCCAGCTCGGCTCATTAACTAAAAGAGTTTTGAGCTCGACGAGTCGAGCCCAAGCCTAACCGAACCGAGTTAGACTTCTTTAATTTAACAGCACTCGGTGTGTGTGTCGTTGTCGTTGCTTGTGTGAAATTGCTACCTAAAATTGAAAGACAGAGAGAGAGACACACACAGATACGACGGGGCCCGGCCCATCTGATGCTCAATGGCATATGACTAGCGACTAGCGAGGCCACATACTATTGACTTCAGAAATTTTACAGCTTTGCAATTGCGCTCTGCCTCGGGAAAAAACCCCTGAAACTATCTGGAATTCAAGAATCTCAAACCTCTCCTGTTGTCTACTCCTTGCTGTATGTAACATTCATTCTCTCCTTTCAATTCAATCCCTAGGGTTAGTGTTCGTGTTCTTTTTGTCATCTTTTGTTCGATCTTTACCCTATGTTGCTTTCGCTGCCGCTGAGCTTATTTTTTTAGCTTTATTTCGTGTTTTTATTCGAATTGGTGCTTATAGATGAATTCTGCAATTTTTATAGAAATGAAAATTAATAAACGTTTGATGCGAGGTAAGCTAGTGCATCTCTCTCTCTCTCTCTCTCACACACACACACACACACACACACATATATATATATAAAGATGCGTCCTTTTTGCACTGGGGGAGGAGCTTGATGGTGAGGGTGAGATTTGGGCAATGTGTGTACATATTCCCGGCCTCAGCTGCTGGGCATGCTGTAACTTATGTTCCTAAGCATTGGTTTTTTGGGGTATTTTCTTGTTTTGTTGTAATTTTAATTGATTCAGATGGCTTAGTATGTTGGACAAGTGCAAAAAGGTGATCTCGCACGTGGAGCATGTAGTCAGTAGTGGGTTTATCATATGTTGTTCAGAAGTAGAAATTGTTTCTTTTGAAACTGTTCGAGGGTCGTTGAGAACAGTCTCTTATTATAAAGTTCTGGATGAACCACTAAGTTATAATAATTTTATTTACTGTAATGGATTTTGTGAACCGATTAGAAGTAGAAAGCCAGGTTAAAGTATTATAAAATTTGATCTTTTGCATTTGGTAAATGAGCACATTTGCTAAATTTCATGCCCGAGTTGATTTTCTTACACCTAAAAGTTACTCTGAGTAGATATATATTCTGACATTTTTGTCGATTAGTGATTATTCAGTTTTTAACCGGAAAGAGTTACTTTCAGAGATTCATTTGACCTTTAACTAGCTTAATTGGCTGTTAGTCGTTATGTTGTAATTGTTTGTTTTTTCCCCATTACATTCGATTCTCTCTGAGATGGTTGGGTGTTCCGAAATTTAGGCCCGTAACTGCTTGCGTCCTATTGTTTTCTTGGCGGGATTCGGAGGCATGTCCACTCAAGTGACACCATCTAAGAGACCGCATGACCAAACCCTGACAGAGCTAAGTGGTCGAACAAAGTGGCAGAAATCATCTGTTTCCGATAATGTGTCACCAGCAGGACCTTCTTCGAGTAGAGTTATACGTGTACTTTTTTCAGCTTCCAAAGTTGGTGGCATCATTGGAAAAGGTGGCAGCACCATATCTCAGATTCGCCAGGAGACTGGAGCAAAAGTTCGTGTTGAGGAAAGTATTCCTGGGTGTGATGAGAGGGTTATTATCATAACAGGATCAGGTAAGGACAAGGAAAGTGTGAGTGAGCAGGTTAAGACTGAAAGCAAAGAGACTGAAAGCCATGAGAAGTGCGAGGAACCAGAAGAACATGGGGAAGCTGATGAAAAGCAGGCTGTTCCTGATGATTCTCGATCAGAGAATGAAAAGGATTCTTCTTCTGTTCAGAAAGCTCTGCTAGTTGTGTTTGGTAAAATGGTTGACATATTGTCTGATAAAAACGAAGGGGACGAGGAAAGTATTAATTCAATAACATTTGTTGTTAGGCTCCTTGTCTTCTCTGGTCAAGTAGGCAGCCTGCTAGGAAAAGCTGGAAGTGTTATAAAACAGATGTCGTCTGAAAGTGGGGCTCATATAAGAATTCTTCCAAAAGACAAGCTGCCTTCCTGTGCATCTTCATCTGATGAACTGGTTCAGGTATGCCAGCCTTCTTATTTTCTTCTGCTTAACACACTCTTGAAAACAGAGGCTGTATTATGGAATCAGAATTTTAGACAACGTGGCATACATGTAATTCATTATTTTTTAATGTGAGATAAATCAGTAATTGTAACTTGTAAGTCATGCACAAAATAAATTTCATGAAGTCCTGGGGAAAAATTTACTAACATAGACGCAGAATATACCCGTTCTTGGATGTTGTACACATTATACAAGTCTAGCATTTGTTTTCTGAACTCTTTTCATACTTGCTAAATCCGTTTTCTTTTCACACTAATGCCTTTTAAGTTTTAACAGATCTCTGGCAAACGTGATGCTGTTAGGAAAGCTCTTCTTTGTGTTTCCGAGCAGCTTCTTGAGAAATCTCCTCGCAATCAGGATTCCTTTTCTGCCCATGTTGGTGGCCCACCATCTCATTCCTTTGGTCCTCCTTCAAGACGGGATAGATTCCCGCCACCTAATCGACCTTTCCATGGACAGGGACCACCTTTTTCGGCTGGGTTTCATGATTTTGAGCCTGGCATGCCTGGTGGTCCTGTGAATTTTCCTCCTGAAGTCCTAACTTTCCGGTTATTGTGTAGTGAGGAGAAGGTGGGTGGTGTAATTGGAAAAGGAGGCTCTGTAGTCAAAGCGCTTCAAAATGAAACTGGTTGTGAGATCAAAGTCCAAGATGGTGAAGGAGATTCAGAGGATCGCATTATTATCATATCAGGCCCAGCTGTACGAGTTTGATCTCTTTTTTCTTTTCTTTTTTTTTTCACCTCACATTTGGGCTTCATATTTTCCCTTTCATAATTTCTGATTGTAGAAATTGAATAAATAGTGGTTGTGGTCAATTATATGCAGTATCCAGATGATGGCATATCGGCCCCACAAGATGCAGTGCTTCGGGTGCAATCCAGAATATTTAGGGCTGCACCAGAGAGCAAGGATAAAAATATGACTGCAAAACTCCTTGTGTCCTCTCATCAGATTGGTTGCCTCCTTGGAAAGGGTGGTTCAGTCATTGCCGAAATGAGGAAGTCGACTAGAGCTTATATCCGAATTCTGGGTAAAGATCAGGTTCCAAAGATCGCTTCCGAGAATGAGGAAGTAGTTCAGGTACGATAGCTGCCATGGAGTTGAGATGTTAAGGGTGTGATTGGTTATAAACTTAACCAAAAAAAAAAAAAAAAACCAATCAAAACTCAAATTTAACTCAACCTTAACCCAACCCCATTACCCTCAATATTATCAATATAATTAAATAATATCAATAATCATTCTTACATATCACATCAATTTTAATTCACTATTCATCAACTCACATAATTTTAACTAACCATCACTCCCAACCATTTTTCTCCTACTTTTACATCAAATCAATTTTAATTATTTATTTTTAAATAATATTTTAATTTAAACTTAAATTTCCACCAACAACTAACCATACCACCTTTTTTATGGTTAAAAAAAAAAATTAAAGACCAATCACATTCATATCCAATCACACCTAAATGCTTCCTTCATTCGGAGTTTCATATGATATTATATTAATAGTTTAAGCGCATCATAATTTTGTAGACTTCTACTGTAGGGTAAGATCATGAAGCATTTGACTTTCTTTGATATCTATGAATTTATATTTGCTTATGTCTCTTGCGATTCCAGGTAAATGGAGAACTTGAGGTAGTTCAAGAGGCTCTCTTGCAGATAACATCAAGGCTCAAAAGTCATTTCTTCCGTGACTTATTTCCGCCTTTCGGTCAACATTCTGACCCGGCATTTCTAGATCAAGGCCCACCTGGCCCATTTCCCTCTTACATGGGAAAGAGGGAATTTTCACCTACTAGAGCTTTTCCTGATCGAGGCCCACCATTTAACAAGTTTGAAGGTCCTGGTGGCCTGCCTTTCCATCCACATGCGGACCATGTACCTTTCGGACACGATTTTCCTAGATCCAGGATCCCTCCACACATGTCTGAAAGAGCTGTAGAACCGTGGGGCCCTCAGGTATCGACTCTTTTTAACCGTGTGACTAAATACAGTTTCACTTCCTCGAACAGGATATTTATTATATTCTCTTTGCAGCATTTCTAGAATTGGCTACTATTTTCTGTGGTTGTTCTCTATTCAAACAGAAAAAATAAAAAAAAAATAAGAAAAGATCATGGTGCTTGGTTTCTTATCATGTGTGCAGGGACCAATAGAAGGGGCAGGTCCAATGGGATTCCCAGATTATCCAGGAGCACCTCATAGAAGATTTGGTGGATTTCCCGGGTTTGTTCTATATTGCATCTAATCTGTTTGCATTATTCTTTTTTTTTTATCTTGGATCTTTATTAAGATTTTTTTTCCCCATCAATATAGAGGACATCAGCCTGCTGTTATCACTAACACTGCTGTGGAAGTAGTTGTTCCTCGATTCGTTGTTCCTGCAATTTACGGAGAGGATGGTGGCTGTTTGAGACAAATTCGTGAGGTATGCATGTTAAAGTGTAATTTGCTCATGGTTCTTTCTTTTGCTAGTGGTTAACCTTGTGTTCTTTCACCCGTCTGCTATGAATTCTTTGCATATAGCTTCTTTGTTGTATTTTGACCAGATTGATTTGCCTTAGCTCATGTTAATCCGCCCATCTCAGTTTGGGTGAAAGTGTTCTTGTTTCTTAACCCATTTCTATAATGAAAAATTGAATCTCTTTTTCTTTTTTTTTTTCTTTTTTTTTCTTTTTTTTTTATGACTAATTTTCTTAAATAAGATAGCATACTCCTAGGCCTTTAAAAATTGGAGTACTATTAGTTTAACTGGCATAATGTTCTGAGATGCATTGTTGCAATTTGGAAAGATACAAGTGTCTGGAATGCTAGGCCACAGGGTTGTAATGTAAGGCTCCTAGGCTCTTACTGTCCTCGAGTAGTACGTTTTTTGTTGTGGTTTCACAAATGATGTACTTCAGCAGATATATGTTGAGGTCATAATATGTTGTATTTGCAGACAATTGAAACTTAAATTAGGTAATTAGTGACCCTTTTTTACGAGTTTGGGTCTTTCGTCCTCCTTACAGTACGAACTTTGCAGTTCTGCAAGTATTAAATTTTAGAGTTCTTTTGTGCTCAAAGGAAGTAGAAAGAAGAGAAAATGTCTGGATTTTTCTGTCATATTATTTATGTTTGGTTTACTTGATTCTAAAGTGCACTGTTACATAATATATTTTATCTTCAATTTAGAATTGTGACGTAATTTTTTTATAGATATCGGATGCAAATGTCACCATCATGGACCCAAAACCTGGAGCGGAAGAAACCTTAATCAAAATCTCTGGGACGCCCGAGCAGACGAATGCTGCCCAAAGTCTTATTCAAGCATTTGTAATTAGCGAGACCGAGACATCTTAGTCATGTCATGGTATTCCTCGACGAATATCATTCTTTTCACAAAAATCAATTCTGCCGAGCTTTTGTGTTAAAACTTATTCACTACTCATTTTGATTTTTGAGACCTGTTTTCAATTGTCTTGCAGC